CTGACTAATTTACAAACTGATATCTTAAGAATATATTAATCTTTAAATTACCTTTTTAATTTTAAATTTATTTTAATAAATTTATTAAATTGGTAAAACATCATATATATATCTTAAAATATTTGTTTATATCATCTAATATCAGCTATTTTTTGGATTTAAAAAAGAAATTTATAGAATCTGTAAAATATCATCATATAATGTATATAATCATTAGTTTATCTGACTAATTCACAAACTGATATCTTAAGAATATATTAATCTTTAAAATATCTTCTTAATTTTAGTTGATTTTTTGCAATTTTACATATGTATACAATATTAGCCTATGATATTCTGATAATTTAAGATAATATTTTGTTGATTATATTAACTTATAACCTATCATTTCTCTGATTTGTTCTTGATAGTTTTTTTACCTATCATCTATCTATCACCAAAATATCTTTCTACTATAATAAAAATTTTGAACTAGTGAGCAGTAGTTATCTTATCTAGTAGACATGGTTTGTTAGTTGGATTTGCTATCATTATATGTTCTAGAATTGGTAAATATATTTTGTATCTTGCTAATATTTATGTATAAAACAACTTAGCTATTTCGTCTTCAGTAATTAGAAAGGAGAATTTAGTTTCAGTTCAAATATCTTCTATTTTCTATGTTAAGGATGGTTTAGGAATAAAATATTCATTAGGTAGTACTTTAAATATATAATACTCTTGTAGAGCCACTGTTAGTTTAGATAGATTTATATTAAGATTATTTGGATCAAGAGGGAAGAGTGATTAGAATCTATAATTAAGTTCTTGATGTACTATAAGGAGTTGTAGTTTTGGAGCTAGAAGGTAAAGTAATTCTCTGGGATTCTTTTAAAATCATATTGCTCTGATAGTTTTTTCTTATAGAAAGATAAGTATTGGAGGTGTTTTCATTGAATTATAGGAAAATAGTCATATAGTGAGTTGATGAGATTTATTAGATCTTCAGGCAGAGGAGGGAGTTGCTGAAAGTATGATCCTAGGAGTTGTTTAAAAGTGTAGATTTTGTGAAGTGTATTAACTGCTCCTCTTGTGTTAGCTTGATTTTATATAGAAAGTGCAAAAGGTAGAATTTTCTGGGTTTCCTCTGAGATAAGTGATGGGTTGATGAGTAGTGGGCTTAAGAATGATTTGTAAGCCTTAGTAATTGCTTGTTTGATAGTAGTTGGTTCTAGTTTTGGGAGTTGTATAAAGTCTCTGTAGTAATGTATTAGCTTGTAAGTATTGAAGTAACTAAATCGCTTTAAGTTAATATTGAGTAAAAATTAGATTGCAAGATAAGCTTTGAGTATTTGTGAGATAGTATGTTTAATTTCTCTATTAGTAAGCATGATATTGTTTTTGAACTTATAATTATTTGAAGATTCCCTATTTAAAACTTCTGGCCCTATGACTTACCTATTTCTATCTGTTTATACAAAGCCAGCCTAACCCCATATTACTTCTCTAGGAAGACACCCGAGCTGACATATGCCTACAAACTTTATGATTCAAAGCCTAGGCCTATCTCAGATACCCCTTCACTAACTTCCAAATCAATGAGCTTTGTAGTACTCAAATATGCTATGCTATATCCCAATCTAGCTTGTATATACCCTTGTTCGATGTTCGTACAAACCCAGTTCCTACTGTGGTTTTCCACCAAGTTAGTTATCTGTGCTTCCAGATATTACACGAAGTAGATCCTCCCAAATTTGTTGCTTGGTGTTGCCTACTTTGCCACCAGATATCACACAAGACAGATCCTCTCAAATTCAGTTAGCTGCCAAGCCAGGTTGGTGTTGCTGTATGACCTCATGTAACAGACTTACTCGCATCTGTTTCATCGATCCTTCTGTACTCAGGACTTACTCATATCTATTTCACTGATCTTTTCATATGCAGATTTCCTTTCTCAGATCAGACGTTAACTGGTATGACTGTCAAAATCCATACTACTTTATCTAACTTGGGATTTCTACTATGCAGGTCCCCTGCTCATAGATCCTATCAAGATTTATTCATGTAATGTTATGCCTTGCTGAACACCCTATCATACTTCCAATACCCTGATTAGTATTGGTGCAATATGATTTATAGGGTTATAACCCCAGAAGTGAGCAGAGTTTATTGTAAGTTGGATACAGATGTCTAGGTAATTATTCAATTCTGTATACAGTGGGATTTGAACTCTAGATCTCTTGCATGGCAGTTCAGCAACCTAACTACTACACTAAGATCACCAGACCTATTTTCTAATTCTTTATTAGCTTGAAGTAATAATAAATTTAGATCTTTTATTATAATTAGATTCAAATATTTGTATAAAACTAATTTGCAACAAACTACACAAATAAGTTTCTTAAGTGATTATAAATAATATTTTTATAAAATTTTACTAAAGTATTATTCATAATAATTTATTAATTAACTATAGCTAATCTGTATATTTTTCTTTTAATAGATTATAATCATAATTCAATTCAAGAATAAATAATAAAACATTTGCTTTTAATACTTGAACTTTCTTTTTAATACAAGTTTTTTGTTTTTTGACAAGATAAGTTTCTCACTATTCATATTATTACTTTCACTTATATTGTTAATAATTTTTTTCATTCTTCAAATAGCTTTCTATTATCTTCATTTAATCTTTAATTTTTTAAAGCTATAAAGTCATTTCTAAAAACAATAAATTAGTATCTCTTTTTCTTATTTTATTATAATATAGTTTTAGAATTTTTACTTATATAGATATCAATAGTCAGATATCAATTGAAATAATCATTATTAATATTTTTTTGAAATTAACAAAGAAATCAAATATTATAATTTAAAAGATAGTTAAGCTTTTTTTTTAAAAAATTAAATAATATACAAAAAAATTTATAATTACTAGCTTTTAATTGAAATAAACTTATTACTATTGATTAAAATAAACTTATCACTATTGATTTTAATGAGATACTTATTAGCATTTGAAAGATTATATCAATTATATCTTATAAATCATTAGTACTAATTTGTACTATAGGTGTTAAACACTATGTTACACAAAACTATTAGAATAACTAATCAAAATTTAAAATCAGATATAACAAAATTTTGTTTTTTTTATTTATTTTTTTAAAAAAATAATAATATCTCAAAATTTTGCTTATATAACTACTCTTGAAACTCTAATTAAAAAAATTCCTTGCTAAATTTTGCATATACTAATACCTAGATAAAATTACCATAACCCTAAAATAATTAAATTTTTTTTGTTTTTGTTACACAAATTTGCAAATCAAAATAATACTATGGTGTTAAACACCATAGATACATTTTATATCTATTGTTATAAATAACAAAATAGCAACACCAAGAAAATAATAAACTTTAGTCTTTATTATTTTATTTACAGAGCATATAACTACGACCAATAATATGTATTAACATAGTCGAATTTATCTACTATACATATGTTCTTGTCTAACTAAGCGTAGTCAATAATAGAAATTTACTTATTTACGTCGTCATTTTAACGTAAATTTCTATCATGAAATCTAAAATAATAGATGAACAGATGATGTTATTACGCCTACCAAAAAACTATCCTGTAAAAATCAGTTGGGTGATATAATTGTTTATTTATTCGTATAATACGATTATTACGAAAGTGTTCATTTACCGGTTATTGTACCAAAAATATCATAATTTAATCGTCATACATTATACACTAAAAATTTTAATTTCACAGTCAATACGTATGACCAGTGAACAGACGATGTTATTATGCCTGCCAAAAAACTACTCTGCAAAAATCGGTTGAGTGATATAATTGTTTATTCGTGTAATAATACTTTTGGATACGATTATTATGAAAGTGTTCACTCACCAGTTATTGTACCAAAAATGTCGTAATTTAATCATTACCAGTTATTGTACCAAAAATGTCATAATTTGATCGTCATACACTAAAAATTTTAATCTCACAGTCAATACGTATGACCGGTGAACAGACAATGTTATTATCCTGCCAAAAAACTACTCTGCAAAAATCGGTTGGGAGATATAATTGTTTGTTCGTGTAATAATACTTTTGGATACGATTATTACGAAAGTATTCACTCACCAGTTATTGTCGCAATTTAATCATCATACACAAAATTTTAATCTCTCAGTCATATTACGAAAGTGTTCACTCACCAGTTATTGTACCAAAAATGTCGCAATTTAATCATCATACACAGAGAATTTTAATCTCACAGTCATATTACGAAAGTGTTCACTCACCAGTTATTGTACCAAAAATGTCGCAATTTAATCATCATATACAAAAAATTTTAATCTCACAGTCACTACGTATATCAAAATCATGCTTCTCGTATGACCAATGAAACCGATTTTTAGTAAATCACATGGGGTGGACATCAATAAAGTTAAAAAAAACAATCCCTCTCATATTTTATGTTACACATTTATCTGATCGTACTGGTAAAAAATATTAGCCTATAACTTATTTTTATTATACTATGCGAATCGTTTGCTACAAAAACTTCTAAAAAAAAAAAATAGCTTGTATACGAGGCGAATCAATTTTTGGATACTAGTATTTTCGTTAGTAAAAGTTTGCTGATCGATTTTATTGTTATGCACAAAATCTATCAATATTATTTTGATTAATTAGTACGTATATCGGAAGCCCCTCTATGTACTTTGTACTCCGTTCCTGGTATTTGATTGGTTAAATTTTTTTATCCAATCAAATTACATAAAAACTTCTAATGGCTCAAATATGGTGTCTTTGCCTCGAAAACCAAGTTTGGATCATATGATTTACTATGCCCCGTAAGGTCATTTTCAAGGCAAAGATCCCATATAACCTCTGTTATAATTATTCGGGGACCTAGTTATTACAATATATCGATATTTATTCAATGTGTAATTGTACCATGCCAATACTTTTAACAACTCAAAAAATGAATAAAAGGGCATTCTTAATTACTTATTCTATCACGCATTAACATTTCTAAGATTGCATAATTACAGTCAGAAATAGCGGAAATAGAAGATTTCAATATTTCTAGGTAACCACTGATAAGTTTAACTTGAAGTGTGTTGATTCTATTTTCTTTTTCTGCTTTATCCAGCTTGTTAAGGATTTTAGGAAATATCATTCTTTGTTTATCCCACCAAACTTGAAATTTATAAAGTGATATAGCAATTTCTGCGAATGCTTCAGTTAGATCTAATAAATATTTGATTAATCCTGTTTTTTCTTCCTTTAAATTATTTTTATCATTTATAAATTTAACTAAAGCATCAATTAAAGTTTTTTGTTCTGCGGCTTTATTCCCTATTTTAAAAAATAATATCAGATTACGCTCGCAATATTTTTTCATTATCAAAACTTAATATAACTTACTGTTTGAATAATCAGCATATAGGAGTAAAAATGCAACGATGATTCCAATTTCTGGTAGAATCGCTCCAGAAACACCAGTTAGTCCTACACTACGAACTCTTTTCCAGAGTGTTGGTTTAACTTTATCATATAGTTCTTTCGCCTTTTGTTTTTTATTTTCAGCATTTTTTAATTCAATTTTTATTTCAGCAATTTTTTTTTCGATTTCATCTTTATGAGATTTAGATTCTCCCTTAAAATCAAAAAACTCTTCTACAATATTCATGAGTTGTTTAAATAAATCCTGTGAAATTGCATCATAATCTTTGGTTTCATCAGATAATGATTTTAGCTCTTCGATGATATCTTCCTTATGAATTGTTTCATCATCAACAAGATTTATGACCCCTTTCAAGTCCACAATATAGCCTGATAATTTGGTGCAGTAATCAACAGACTTCTCAGCAAACCTTCGAAATTCCAAACGAATAGTAGTAACTTTTTCTATTAATTGATTTTTAATTCTTAAATCATCAGTCTTAATTTGTGTACAGTCCGAAAATATTCTTATACACTCTGTCATACTAGTTTTAAAGGCCTGCACTATTTCTTGGAGATTATCGGATTCGCTCGCTTTCATTTTAGAAGCAGCTTGTATGTAAGAGGAAACTGTTTCTTGGAAAATATCGGATTCGACCATTTTCATTTTGGAGGTTTATTGTGTGGTTCAGAAATTTTTTTCTCAATATTCCGTTTATAAAATTTATAGAAAAGAGTCACTATTTATTGATATTCAAATTAAAATACAGATGTGACATGTTTTGAATTATAACCTATCCAGTGTTATGATATCTGAAATTATATAAATTATTTATGAAATCAAACTTAAAAAAACGACAAAAGTATCAAACATATGATAGTTACCGTAATTTCTATGTACTGTACTTGGAATTAAAATTCATGGCAATGCTCATACACGAACAATATTTTTCTTTTTCCTCAAGACATTAATGATAAAACAAATGTAGATCCTAACCCAGGTGATCTCAAAAAGAAGGGAATGTGGATACATTACCTCAATCAAGTTATCAGTTATGATCGCATTACAGCAATGCTATATCTTAAAAAAGTAAAATTGGGATTGATAAGGATTTAGATTTGAATTTATATATACTTCCGTGGGAAAGTTCACATACAATGTATTGTTACTATTGTTTTGGGAAAGCGTTATATAATAAGTGCCGAGTTTAACTCCAATAGTTAACTTAAATATCAAATGTTCGAAAATAAAGTCTTTAAATAACACGATCATTTATATAAATATCGGGTTGGTGGCTTGTTCACGTGTTATGACAGACTTTATATTGAATCGGGGGTTTGATCACTTAAATGTATCGATCACACTTAAGTAATTATGACAAAGGTAATAAGTGTAATAAATGCGTCACTGATCTATTCAATTTAATCGGGGTTTAAGTTATAGTAAAACGTAATTCGATATTTATCGAATAATTAACGAAGCAAATTGGTTATTTATAAAAATAGAGAAATAAAATAATAAAAGAAAAATCAAACGTTCAATAAATTTTCAATTTCAACACTTTTTGAGAATTCGATTCCTAATATCTTTCTTATATTCAAGACATCGAAGTCTGAGGAAATTTTATTAAGGCGAAAAAGACATCTTTAAATACATTTTTCTTTTTACAATAAATAACTACGGTATACCATCAATTCTATTTACAATCTAGACTGCAATGTTTATTTTCTTTCCCTTTGATAAATTATACCTAATTTAGTCCTCGGTCCCTTGACAATTTGTTCAAGGAAGCCTTCCCATAAACAATCCGTCTACTACTGGTTATCCAATTTGATAGACAACAGTCTTACAATGACACCAATGATAACCAGTTTCTACTCTATATAGATATATTTATCAGATATATCTTGCATATTGTTCTCACTATTGTAGCTAACAAACAAACAAATAAAAAATAAAAAAAATCGTAACTGTCTAAGCCCTGAGAAATGTGTCACGAGGGGAACTGTAACACTAGTTTTCTAAACTGACGATCATCACAGTTTATAAAAGCATCAAACTTTTCAGAATCTTTGTTATATAACAGTAGGTTAGGGAAGGTCACTGAAAGATGTTCAGAAAGTATTGAATCGTTATGCTTAAGTATAATATCGATTAAATGATCTTCATTAATCTTCAAATCCTTGAAACCTGCAAGGTTAAAATTTTCTTTCTGATCTTGAAGCTTGGAACTGTGTAATAAATTTTCCTGAAATCAATAAAGTAAAAATGTGATTCTTGAAAGAATTTGCATTATTTGAAACTATAGATAATTTTGCCTCATATTTGACACTATATATAATAAACAATAAATCAAATAAAGAATAATAAAGGAAAAAATGCATCAACTGAAGAGTAATGGCCTAATAATATAGATATGGTGAGTAAACCTCGAATCACATTGGTGGTGTAACAATGTGAAACTGGCCCAAACATATTATACTACTGAGTTAACCTAAAACCCCAAGGTTTTTGCAAAGTGCTAAAATAAACGAGATAAGATAGAGTAAAGAATAAATCATTGGTTATAAAAAAAAAGACATGAATAACCAGGAAATAACAAAGGAAAAAGTGCATCAACTGAAGAGTAATGGCCCAATAATATAGATATGATGAGTAAACCTTGAAACACATTAGTGGCGCAATAATGTGAAACTGGCCCAGACATACTATACCATTGAGTTAACCTAAAGTCCCAAGGTTTTTGCAAAGTGCCAAAATAAAGGAGAAAAAATGGAGTAAAGTACGTCTACTAGCTAATAATATTAAGGATAAATCTCAAGTCTCATTCGTGACAAGGCAATGAGACACTAGCCCAACATATGCATCAAAGATATAATCATAGGCAATGAGAAAATATAATAAGTGAATGAGCTATCTTACCAAAGCTTCCTTAGTGACATTTCTTGAGTTTGTAATTTTATATTTTATCTTATATGTACTTCCCCATCTCTTCTTTATGCCATCTCTAGAGTATATTTTTATATCACTGTTGTATATTTCCATTTGTAATGTATTGTTTGTTGAGACCGTATCGATTTTTGCATATTTTATGTATGGCTATGATTAAGATATAAAACATGAACGTTGAATGTGAATAGATTTCTAGCTTTAACTAGTGCATCATACCCAGAGAGTATCATTAGGATATACTGTATAACATCCGCTAACTTTCTGTTCCGTTCCATAGAGTCCTATAACAAAGTTCAACTTAGACATACACAAGCTTTCTCACGTTCAACGGCATATTAACTAAAAACAGTGCAACGAAAAACTTACGTTCTCCTTCTTAAGTTGACAATACTCAAATGAGTGTGGTTCCTTTTCTTTGCATCGACCGCCAATAAATTTATTATCTGTTATATGATGTTTTTTTTTTTATTATTTATAATCAAGTGTGCTGACGTGTAATTACGACATTAAATAATGATTGTCACATGATAATTGCACTAGCATTACAATAGTTTTGCCAGTTACAAAAATTTTGACCAAAATTATTCACACGATCAAAAATTACGTGTAATTTTGATTTCAGAAACGGTAATTTTATAACCCTACTAGTAAAGCAAATTCAATTCTATAACTTGCAAATGAAATTAGTTTTAAAACTATGCTGAGACATTTTTAAATTTATTTTATTAATATAATTAAAAAATCAAATGTTTTTTTTATTGCGAATTTTAGTAATAAAATATTACGACTTATAAATTTATCCTATAGAGACCCACATGATTCTTAAATGTCGCAATTTAGTTTTATAGTCACACTATCTAAATATCATTTACAAGTTGCAAAATTGAATTTGCTTTACGTATCAAAAAATTATATTTAGACATTTAATATTTGAGCATATCGAAAATCTCCAATTTTACTTTTTTTTCGATTATTTAACATGAGTAAGCCTATTTATTCACTGGTTTTTATTTATACTTCTTTTTTCTCACTTATCGCCCACTTCGTGGGCATGACATATTTGTATAAATTTATATTATTTACATTCTTTCGGCGTTGGCAAATAAAGCAATAGAAAAAATCATGATTTTTTTTACTTAAAAGTTAATTTTTTGGTTCTCATAACCCGACCCGGAGACTTTTTTAAAAATTGAAATTAATTTTTTTTAGATATATGTAAATTTTTTTTATCTATATAAGAATTTCAACTATAACAAAAAAATTTTTAACGTATAAAATTTTTATCCAGGTCACTTCTAAAATTTTGTGTTATGAAAACCAAAAAATTAACTTGTATGACATATAAATTTTTTTTATTTTATTAATAATTTATAATTATAAATATAAATTGTTAAAGCATTAATAAATAAACAAAATTAAATATATTTTTATACTAAATTAATAAAGTTTAATACAATAAAAATTAAAAAAGTGAATAGAATTAGAGCCCAATAGAAAAAATATAGTAATCTGACAACTCTGATTCTTTTCTATCAAATTTGAATCAAATAAAACATAATTACTTTCTGTAAACCAATAGATTTAATTGTATCTAAGTTGACTTTTGGAATGTTTATTAAGTTCTTGAGTTTTGAATTATTTGAATGGTAGATTAGTTAGTATATACTCATAATGCTTGTATATGCGTTGACTGAGGATTTGTATTTAGGCTCAGATTTGTTTATTATCAGCTTCTTCAAAAATATTTATCGAAGTAATTATTGTTTGTAATAAAGGTCAAAATCTCTTGGATGTCACTTGCTAAAGGGCATTCATATATTGATTTGCCAAATTAACATAAATCTGTGGTATTTTATTTGAAACTTTGGACCAAGACTTTCACAAATGTCTTTAACAAGATTAGCATTATATTATTTTTTATTGTAGTATAAAGGTATTCCAGCCGAAATTTCCCACATAATTATCAGAAATAATTTTCCAATCAAAACTTCCGAAGCTATATATCGAATATGGTAAAATCCCGTAAATTTTGTTCGATTCTTTCTTTGATGCTAAATTAGATGGTATTAAAAGTCCCAAATCTGAGATATATGCATCATTTAAGCTATTTTTAAATATGTTACCACTATGTAAATCTCTATGTGTTTGATCTTGAAAATGTATTGTCTGAAGATCAGAAACAATGCAGTATAATATATTTAACTTGTCTTTCCACTTCATTTTTACTATAGAGTGTAGATTATTACGTAGAGAGCCTTTTGACGCATATTCAATAACAATAATATAGTCTTTGAAAACATTGTCCTTTGATACACCATAACATTTTAAAAATGTGGGATTTCATTATTCATATCAAAATATGCCTTTAACTTCATTATTAATAAAGGTGTGCATTATATAATAATAATCAATTTTTAAATTTATTAATACAGGTATTAAAAGCATATATATAAATTACAGCACCTCTTTTATTAATTTTTTAAGATAATCTTTTGACCCATGAAGCAATTTAAGTGCAACATCTCTTAATGCACTGTTTTGATCTTGTCATATAGCATAGAATACTGTCGCAAATGCACCTTGTCCTATTTTTCTATATTTTTAAATTCACTATAAGGAATTCCATATTAATGTCAATAATCATTCTTCTTAAATCATCATTTACATCAGAATTTTTGGTTCATTCATTTGCGACTATAAAATTTCAGCTTAAA